ATCAACCCAGGATGGGCACATCCTGAGAAATAGATCGGTGTACGAACCAATAGTAAATTATGTCTCAATTCCTCGAATTGTCTGTCTTCTAGCGTAAGAGGTTTACATACTCCAGAAGGTACCTTGTTTGCACCGTTTTTATTTTGCATTTTGAGTACAAAATCGGGACATTGAGAACCTCCAGTCGATACAGTTACCTTCTGTATTGCACATACTTAAAAAATGTTTGCACGTTCCTCTCAAAAGTTACTTTTCCTTCTAGTTTTTTTTAAGAAGAAGCATAAGATAAAGTCAAATTCATGTCAGCTTTGTAAACTATCCCTCTCCGCGTACAGAAGACGGTTCACGGGATGCAGACCGGTTTTTGTAGTAGTATACCTTGGATTTGCAACTCCGGCAACGGATAGTAGACGTAATGTTTTTTTCTCCTACTAAAGAGTTGCATTTGAGAGTAAATAAACCTCTGTAAACTTACCAAGGTCTTTGTTTGTAGGTTTAAACAATCGTCCACCTTCTGGTGGTAGGACATTTTTCTTGTAGTCCTTTTCATAATTTCCAGGAGGAAAATAATGTGCGACAATATAAACTGACTTTTTGTCTTTACTCCGTGCCACGCCAAAGCCAACTTTCTCCGTGCTTCTCCAAATTAGCTGCGTAAAATGTCCTAAAGAATATATTTTATCAAGAGTTGCCATTCATTATACATTAGTAGCAACCTACAGGGTGTCCCAAAAATGTATACACATTTTAAATGATTGTAAACGTGGTGTTGATTATATTTTTATTATTTCAAAAATGAAAAGCTATTTAAAAGTATCATTTTATTGTTTTTTTTCACTGCATGTTCTCAAACTGACGTCCATTTAATCCAGACACTGCTGACAACGCGCAGCAATGGAATCGCATACACCATGAAACAATTCCATTCGTATTTGAGTGCATTCATGTTCAATGGCTTTTCTCTTTCTCAATTATTTAAAATATAGTCAAAATGCCACTCCCAAATACTTTAATATTTTTGAAATAATAAAATTATAATAAACATCAAGGTTACAGTTGTTCAAAGTGTGTATACATTTTTTGGGACACCCTGTATATGGTTCATTTAAAAGATCTAAAGAAAGTAGCATCAATACAAAGGAATAGCACTGGGTAAAAAATGGAACAAAATGGAATCGCCTATGTTGCAGTCAGCTCCGGGTCACAAAAATGACATCGTTAAAGGTGCTTAGGCACCATTATTGGCAACTGTTACAGTGAGGTCAGGGTTTGGACACAGCGAAGATGATATCATATGTCGTTTGCGTAGAAATTTGTTTTAAGATAACCGATCACGGTATATCAGATCACATTAGTGTATTCCAAAATTAAAATTCAAATTAATTATTTGAGGCTATATTCATATACTTGGGTTAATTTCTATACTGTTGTGTACTCACTTAATTGCAGTGAACGCTTTTTGCTGAGACTCAAACTATTTTCAAGAAGACACCTTTTAAATAGAAAAATAAATGCGGACTTACCACAACCCTGATCCTTATTCTTGCTAAAATCATAGCTTTGACTTTGGCTATACCAGGAAAACGTTGCTTGTTCACCTAAAATGTCAATTTATTATGAAATATTAAATCGAGTTTCCTAAGTTCATGTAATGCAGTAGTTTCGAATCTGTATTAGTGGCGAACTTTCGTTCGACAAGACCCTGTTGGTGAAATAATAATACGTCAAAAATCATTGAAATAGTTCGTTTTTTTAACATGAAGTTTGTGTAACACTAGGATATAGGTAGCTCAGTAGTGGACATGTGTACGTTTGCAGGAAGAAATAGTTGATAGTACGCATTGGTTTTTACGAGCAATTAGCATTGGCTCAATACTAGTATGTTTGTTTTGTACAGAAAGGGGTTTCTGAGGTTTAAGAAGGGTTTTCGACCGTAAGAATGAGTGCAGCTGCGATATTTCAAAAGAATATCGGCACTTTTCAAGTTTAGAAAGGCATAATGTTTTTTCTTTAGAATCTATAAAAACATTATGTGAATCTTAGCTAGACTGAGTGGTTGGCAGTTGTGAGGTCGTCTTGCATTCCTAGGACTTCAAACGGGAACACACTGCCGGCCTGAACACCTTCTACAAACTAAGGAAGCACTGGGGTAAGAATAATCGATATGGTCCCTTAGCGAGGCCATGGAAATCAGAATGGCCCACCCCTGCGCATACTTTTAGGAAGAATATATATGCCAGTACCTTTACTGTTATACACTCTCTACCGTAAAGCGAAATTTCGGCCATAATCTTAACGCAAGCCTCACAGTAACATCAACCCAAACTTCCACTCTAAACTCGGCCTCAAATTACCTGAAAGCCAACGTCAACTTAAACTTAAACTTAACACTGATTAAAACCTTGCCCTATTTTATTTTTCCCTGCACAAGGGCGCCTGCATTGCGGGCGATTCCTTTTCTCATGCCTTACTTACGGGGCCACATACGTCATCCTGGCTGACTTTAGGATCATTCGGGCGCCCAATGGAACGCCTTCCTGCAGAGAGACTTCGACACCTTCAAGTGATAACTCCTATATGGTGCATTCTTCTAGGCATTTATATTCAATCTGGATGCTACTTTAGAGTGTCGGGAGATTTGCTTGGTGCATAACTACAAGTGATTCCACTGCTGCTGAAAATGAGATGAGGATCCTTTTTGAGAACTTAGGGATGGAAATCCTTATTCTGTAAGCAGGGTGACTGACAACCATTATTCAAATTCCCTGTGCCTTGTTCAACGACCCGCTGCAACAAGGGCCTAGCCTTGTATTTAACCCGTACATAAAACCCTAAGGACGCAGGAGAGACGTGTTAAAATTATGCGATCATTGAAAATCGCGAGGAGGTGCGTCCGCCATATAAACACTTTTACGGAAATGAGAACTAGTGCCTTAGAAAGTTCTTATTTTAATTCATAACCTCCTCCATTCTTTTACGAAATGGCAGAAGTATTGCTATGTTAGAATAAGATGTGCATCATCCAAGGTATCAGGAGTTTCCTGATTTTTGATGAAATAAACACCACATTATTATCCGTTCTAGACTACATTGTATCATTTGTCTGGCAAGTACCGTAAAATCAAAACGGTTTAGTATTGCAGTGATGTCTCTCTAATTGTTCCTAATTGTATTAACTGCGCCTGCACGTCTGTTTCCGCTCTAGCCCCTCATTGCGCAATTGGCCTCAGTTAGCAGGAGATGTGCGTCAAGGTCTTGGTGTTAGACACACAGATCACCAGCAAGTTCCGAGCAGCTACAACAACTCAAACTATTACTCAGCTTGCATCAATGTCAATGAGCTTAACTGTGCCTTCCGGTGCCAAGTTTCTTAACGGCTCTTAGGCGCAGTAATTGATCGCGAGTACAGTACAGGGCTACCTGTTATGAATGTCACATACTCCTTACTTCCGCAATGCAACAGACTCTGAAGACAAAATGTACACATCTCAAGCAAAAAAGCAACGTATTTGTGCTAAAACAAATCAATTTCTTTGAACAAAGACACTCAAAACACTCTAGTAGAGAGGGTTTACTTCAAGAATATACTTTCAAATTGGTGTTCGGGAAAATCAGCTAGTTTTCTGAAGCATAAACTTTATTCTTTATAGAAATATGCTTTTTGTCGCATTTTATTTAGTCGGGTTTCTCAGTGCCATTTGTGATTACGTTGCCAATTTTCGCCCCTTTTGACAGGGCATTGCCAAACTGCATGTTACCCAAAGTTCTACAAAGTTATCTTAACTGGACTAAACTAGAGTCTTCCTTGATATTCTTTTAGCCCTTGTGGGTAGAGCGTGGCTTTTCATTTCACCTGTTAGTCTCAAGCTTGGTTCTATAAAATATAATTTTGTTGTTGACAGTAATTTCAGAGTGCTCGGTAATATGACTGTTGTTATTCAAATTGAAAATATGGTTCGCCAATTATAGCAGAGTTGCCCATATTTTAACCAAATCTCTCAGAAAAATTAAAAAAAACTTTTTATTGCCTGGGCGATGGTAAAGCCTAGGTGAATATAACTACCTGTTAACGGAAGGTCGGGTGGACCAGTGCGGACGATAAGATTTTCGCCGTAATTTTTGCATTCACTATGATCGAACAAATCGTACTTCGCTAGGTATTCGGCGTAGGATTGGGCATTTGCAGCCAACCGCTTACTGTATTGTAATGGCGGAACACCATGAAGTTCACGCAGCCTGCAAAGTGCCAATAGCAAAAGAAAAATATGATAATAAGTAGGGCATGGGAATTTGTAAGCATAAGGAGTCTTGATGTGACTGAAGTATCTCGCAGTGGTGTTGCAAGATAGTTCTACTTAAGCGATCCTCTGAAAAAGACATATTTCACAACTTTGTTTGATATTTTAAGACAGTAGGTACGATAGATTGCCTAGCTCATGAAATGTCACCCAAAATTCTCAAATGTATTTCCTGTCGTGCAGCCTACTCCCAGGATAGTTCAGTCACGTCCAGCTGCTTTTCGTCGGCCTGCAGAAAGCACTCTCTGGAAAAAATAACGACTTCCAATGAATGCATTTTTCTTATTGGTTTCCTAGGTTCTTATAACTTCGGATGTATGTACAGACACTATACACAAAAACATTCTACTTCATAGTACTAAGATACACAATTACGTCTTGAGGAAGCAGAGTATTTTTTGGTTTTGAAGATAATTTATAACAATGAGATTTTTTAAGACAGTGAAATGTCCATTCATACTATATCCTGTTTGCGAATTTATAAGTGTCGCCTTTAAATTCTGCAACATAAGCAACATTAATTTCAAATTTGTATATGCACGAAAAACAGAAAAGATTTTAAAACCAAAAGATGCCCTTCTCATTATAAGATTTAAAGAAACGGGCATTTGCTAGTAAACACCCACAAGGAAAATATTTGTTTGCATGTTTTCTATTAAAAGTATTTGAATTTGTGTGTGACGAAAATCAACGAGGAGAACGTATACAAAATTAGCAGCCATTTATTTTGCGGGTGATCAGAGAGACGCTTTTTTAAACTTAGCATCCTATTATGAGTTAAATAGCGCGATATTAAGCTGCATGCTAAATAATATCAGAATTTCAGGCGACATCCCATGAGGTGGACAATGCACTGTACCAATCTTCAGTCACCATTATATTTATAAATCGGTCTTCTCAGAGCCTGGCTTGTACAATTGCTATGCATTAAGGTACATCCGAATTTTCTGCTTTGAAGGGTCGCGAACATTTAGTCTCACATGTGCATTGAAATTTTTTCAATCAATAAGCGCCATGTTCTATCCAGCTACTTCAGTCAGCATTGACAATTGACCATTCCTATTAGGCCTAGCGCCTGTATCTAGAGAATTGGTTATACTTAAGAAAGGCCCAAACCTGTCAGACGTATGTTTTATGGGCTAATAAAGTAATATCCTATGTATTAGAATTCTGCAGCTAGTTTAACTCCTTTTAACCTGAATCCTTCAAGTATGTGGCTTGGTAGTGGCTGAAAGTCGCATGAATTAAAGTGTTAGTCATGCGACCGAAACACCCCTGTTCTTAACCTGACTGCAAGTGACCAGTGCTTATGCGTTAAAATTGGCTGTTTGGAACATGCTCGATATTTTCAACGGCTTACTCGTTGTCCATGAGAGATATATAAAAGTGGAAGTTTAGTCGACCCAATTGTGAAAAAACTGGCGACATTCGGCGGGATTCGAACCTGCATAGGAGGGAGGCCTTTTTACGCAAGCCAACGCTCTACCTACTTGAGCTA